ATTTCTTCGTCTTCTAAGGGTCATGAAAGATCGAGAAAACGTAAAAGTAGAGAGTCGGCCGACGGACTCGATTACAATACTTCCTTTGCTTACGCTCGGGAAGTAAAAACGAGTTTCATAAGGCAAATATTGAGGCACGAATCCAAGTTTATAGAACGAGCGGCGAAGCCGCGAGTTATATAAAGGATGAGTGCCTCAATGGCCTTATGAACGAGTTATTTATACTATTTTTTCTACCGCACACGTTTTTTCCCAAAATTTAATTGAAATTTGCATTTTTTTTTAATCTGGGGACTTTTGTTGTGGTTGGTGATGGGTCGGTCTGACACTAACCACGAAATATTTCAGGTTCGAATTTTCACAACAACAATTGTAATTCGAACCAATTCGAGTTTTTGTAATTTAAAATTGGTTAAAATGTCTTGCGAAGAAGTTACGCGTCCGGAAACATGGGAAATTTTAAGTTTACATTTGCCACTGACATTCACCTGACATTTCTCGTCATGGCTACCAATCTTACCGATCTAAATTACACCAGATCTATTAAAGAACGCCTTTCCGCTATTAACGAACTGCTGTGACGTCATTTGCGTGCGTTAATAGCTCTATTAGAAAACCAAAAAACGTGGGCGGTAGAAAAAATTATATAGCAGTATTATATATATTAATCCAACGTTAAAATAACAAATAAATGAATTTTTGAGAAAATTTTGGCAACCATGACAAATCGAGGTCTGGCAACACGGGGTAGAACTGGTAGAACTCTAGTGTACAAAATTTGGCATATCTCATATTTCATTTCACACGTCTTATTTCTCATTTCACACGTCTCATATCTCATTTCGTATACTTCATATTTCATTTGGCACCTCTCATTTTTCACTTCGCACATCTCATTTTCGATTTCACCCATCTCATTTTTAAATTTGTCCCACATCATTTCTCATTTCGCGTTAATTTTCCACTTTGCACATTTCATTTTTCATTTCCCACATCTTGAATTTCATTTCGCACACCCCACACTTTATTTTGCCTCTCTCATTTCATTTAATATTCCTCACATTTCATATTTCATTTCGCACCTCTGATACTTCATTTCGCACCTCTGATACTTCATTTCGCACCTCTGATACTTCATTTCGCATATCTCATATTCCATTTTGCATTTCGTACGTTTTATATATCATTTCACACATTTTGAATTTCATCAAAATAAGCGTAGTAAAAACGTTGAAGGACTGTACTCAGAAAAATATTAGCTGGCCCGTTTTTCATGCCGGTGAATCTAGTATGAACAGACATTGAAAGTTATAGTTTTTTTAATATTATTTCTAAAAAATAAAAAATCTCTAGTTTCTTATTTTTACTTCCCGAGCGTAAGCAAAGGAAGTATTGTAACCGAGTCCGTCGTCCGACTCTCTACTTTTACGTTTTCTCGATTTTTCATGACCCCTAGAATACGAAGAAATAGGTCTCCCATTTCCGTCTGTCTGTCCGTCCGTCCGTCCGTCTGTCCGTCTGTCTGCCGTCCCGGATTTTTATTAGACAGATAATCTCCCAAAGTACTGGACCGATTGTTGTGAAATTTTGTACTTATATTAGGAATATCATGTAGATGGTAAAACGCTAACCAAAATTTGTCTAATCATCCCCACCACTAATGCGATGACGTCACTTCAAAATTGTACATAGTAAATGGGTCTTAAATTGTATAAAATAACATAGTCCTACACATGTAGTTTACGACTCCGAATTCAGTTTTTACCCGAAACGTCCAGATTTTTGGAAAAAAAATCAAAATTATAAAACAACATTTTGCAATTTAATTTTAATGTGCTAACCCGAATGTTTTGAAATGTCGCAGATGTTTTAAGGCTATAAAGAGCATCTTAAATCTTTAGTCAAAATATATTTGGTTATCCCCTCCAAAAACTTGATGACGTCATTTCAAAAGTTTGCCGAATAAATCCTATCTAAAATGTACAAAATATGGTGAGTCTCTTCTTGTGATTTATCATTCCATTCAAATTTTTTCGATTTGTATATACAGGGTGACTGAAAAAAATTAATGAATGCGTCAATTTATTTTATTGATTTAATCAGGAATTACAGAACCGAATGCATTAAAATCGTGGAGATGTTTTAAAGTTATCATAAGCATGGTAAATTTTTTATCAAAATGTATTTGCTCTTCCCCCCTAAAAAATTGATAACGTCACTCCAAAATTTTGCTGAATAAATCCTATGTACAAAATATGATGCGTCTGTACTTGTGATTTATCATTCCATTCATATTTTTGGATTTGCATATACAGGGTGACTAAAAAAAATTAATGAATGCGTGAATTTATTTTATCGATTTAATCAGGAATTACAAAACCGAATGCTTTGAAATCTTGGAGATATTTTAAAGTTATTATAAGCATGGGAAACTTTTGTTCAAAATGTATTTGTTCATCCCTCCTAAAAAAATTGATGACGTCACCCTTAAATTTTGCTGAATAAATCCTATCTAAAATGCAAAAAATATGATCAGTTTGTACTTGTGATTTATCATTCCATTCATATTTTTTAGATTTTCTTGAGAGGTGGCTCAAAAAAATTAATGAAGTCAATTTATTTTATTGACTAATTAAAGGCAACACTTATTATTAGTATTACATTGGACCAACCCAATTTGGTAGACACAAAATTTTTTAAAGTAAAAACTCGGTTGAAACATAAGGGTAGCACGCTTATTTACATCAACTTTAACATTACAGACGTGCATTTGTTTTATGCGCTGACTAGGTTCCGCGAATGTGGAATAGACATGTTTATAATCAACCAATTGTGAATTTCACCCTCAAAAATTAAAATAAAACCCAATGTTTTACATAATAAGCGGAAGTCGAAGCAATAAAACCGATGGTCGTTTTGTTTACAGTTTCTCTGTTTGACTCTCATGTATGCTGTCACGCTTGTCATCTTAAATTAAGAATGTTTATACATAAACGATTTTCAGTTGCCTCTCATATTACACACCGGCGCCGTATACGTGAGTAAATTGTTTCGTTATTTTATTGATTATAACAAATCAATATTCAAAACGACCCAATTCATTTTGCCGAAAATTTGGGAATACAATAATTTTATTCTTAGTATTACACTACATCTATCCCAACTGATATACGTGTCCTTGCAAAAATGTTGATGACGTCATCGCATTTTTTTTTTAAATTCCCACTACAAAAATGTAATGAGAAAAAAAACACAATAGGCATGCAGTCGTCAAGTTTCCGACAGCGAGGGAAGTACTGTCTAAACTCTTTAGACCAATTTTTTCATGTTGGAATCTTCCTCTGCTAAGATTTCTTGTTTATTTTTATGTGTACTATCAGGTTCAGGATTAAATGACGATTTATGGAGAAGGAAAGAGCTAGAACTAGATACAAACAAGCATACAGCAAGTGGTTTCGAAACGAGAGAGAGAGAGGAGATACATATAGAAAGAGGAAGAGATTGCTATACTCTAAATTATCGCTGTTATCAGCTATTGATAAATTAAGGTTTTGTTTGTTAACTAAACCATTGTATTTTTTTAAACTAGCTTATCGCTAGTCCACAGATAAAATACTTTCAAATAAGTACTTATATCTCATTCGTATTATTGGTACCATGACTAAATATTTTTTATTAAGTCCGGGCGGCAAATATTGGTCAAAAGATTCTGAGAAAAATACAAGACAACTGTATATTTCATCAAACAGAATGTATTCTAATAATTCTTTTCACACTGTGGCAACAATAATACAAAAAAATGTAAGATCAAATCACTTACTTGCAATATTTTACTTTTTTTTTTTTTTCGTTCTATACATTGCTTGTACATATTCTGTAGTCAGTTTTACAGTTTTATAAATTCCCAAATTTGTGCAGCTGTAGAAAGAAAAAGTGCTGGTCCGGCCGTACTGGAACTACCATTAATAGCCAGAGAACTTCTTATAGCCTCATTGACAAAAGTGTCCGAAGGGATTTCCCACTGTTGCCATAGTGAACCGTCTTTTTCAGACACTATAGCGTAGTGAGGTGCTGTACGATTTACATTCAACACATACCTGGTGTAACAACATAAACACAATTAGATGTTGTCATAACTTAATAATACATAAAGTGCAGTACCCATTAATAACATTAACTAGATAAAACAAGTTCGTAGTACTTCCACATTGAATCGTCCACCTCTGTGCTGCGAGATTGGCGTTATAGTGTTGAATTCTGACATGATTTGGATCAGAACAATCTATCGCGAAATAGTTGATGCCTGGGGCCCGAAATGCGTATATTTGTGCTGTGTTGCACTCTATTGCTGGTACTGCCGGGAAAAGTACGAACACCATGAACCATAAAAGTAACCTACCAAATTTAAAGTTATACGCAAATGATTTCAATGATAATAATCTTTACTTAACTGGCTAAAGTAGACCATTGCAGCTTCTAGGAAGATGATAGGTCGGTACTCACTATGAGTACACGAACTGAACGAAAAACACTGATAACCTAATCCATATCCATTGTCAAGAATCTTCAAATCTCAAATTTTCTGTTGTGTATCTATCTTTCATAAAGAATTTTATTATTTCAAATCATGTAATCTCTGATTTTGTTCTAAAATCGTCACCATTGTGGAGTGAATAAGCAAACAAAGCTTTATTAAAATTATAATCGGAAAATTGTGGTTAAAACCATACAGAACTCTATAAGTCTCATTTAGCGAAGATCCACAACAAATTTTTTGTTTTCGAAGTACTCTTCACGCTTGTCCCGATGTTTCATTTATCAAATCTAATTTTTCATTTCTCACATTCATTTTTTTCTCATTTCCATTTTACACATCTTATTTCTGATTTCGAATGTCACGTTTCCTGTTTCACACATTTCATTTCTTATTGACCCTTTTCCTGTAAGATCGTAAAACTTCCATAGTGACTTTCCGTGCGCACGCATCTTCAAAACCACGTTGGAAATAGTATCCGGCACTACGGCAGCAGAGCAAAGGCCTGTGACAACAAACCGCTTTGACAGAATGCAACCGGAAACACATGCGTAATCTGTTGCCCATTGGTTATTTTTAACTTGGCGCTCCAAAAATCTGACTTCGCCTGCGCGATGTTGTCTCACTCTGTATCATTGGAATTTATATAATATCTACTCACTTTGCTTACAAGAAAAGGGTCAATTTCGTTCATCCCATTTTTATTTTGCATATCTCATCTTTTGCAATCATGTGCAAGTTTAGTTCCTTTTTGGTAGTTGGTAGTTCTGCTACGAAATTTGTAGGTAGAGGGTTGGTAGAGAAGTTTACTTGTTTGGTGCGTCACTGTTGTTTTGTTTTGGTGAGTGAAAGGACGCGGTAAGGAAGCTAGATTAAGTTTAGTTGGTTTAGTTTGTTTAACGAAAATTAATCCTAACGACGACGACGCCAGTTTCCCCAACACGCGTAGCTAATTCTTGCAGTTTTTCCAAGCGGAAATATACGTATTTTCGACCGACGCTAACACGTAGTGTAAATTTGTTTTACTGTTTGTAAATTCACAGTTCATGTTAAGATTTTAATCGTTAACTGGTTCTAACACAATTTAACAGTCATGAGATTGTTTAGATAAAGGCTCATCCTTTGTTTTTCAACCACAGAGACGCATTTCTCGCGATTGTGTTTGTGATGTGCTGGGGACAGTCCACGATATAAACACTCAAAGCTAATTGTTTTATGTAACCAGTCACTTGGATCATGGCATAATTTCACATCATATAAGTTCATTGTTTGACACTTTGATAAAGTGTGGCATAATTTAATATCATGTAAGTTCTGCAAACCATTTAATTCCACAATTTTACTATCACACTTCCAATAAAAAACACACTCATATGCTAATAATTTTATTGATGTCATTGTGAACAATGACAATAAACTGCAATATCGGCCTCTTTTCATAGTTAAAATATAAAATTATCTACAAGTATGTACTTAAAACTAAAAGTAAAAAATCCAGTTATAATTTGCGTAGATCTAAAACAAACACGCTACCATCCGACGCGCTAGCACCCACTTTGTCGCCCCGCGAATTCCAACAGACCTCGAAAATCCCGCCCGTGCCCTTATAACTGTGCACCAATTGTCCGGACTGCGTCGACCAAATATGCACGCACTTATCAAAACTGCCGCTCGCTAAAAATTTACCATCCGGACTAAACGCAACCGAGTAAACCGGTTCCGTGTGCTTCGTCAAAGTATGAATACAAGTGCCCCTTTCCACATCCCACAACCTAACAGTAGAATCAAAACTAGCTGAAGCCAATATTAGATTCATGTTCGGATTCTGCGTCCCGGGACCCGTCGGAGACCACTTAATCGTGTAGATTTCCTTCGAGTGCGCTTGCAAATCGTGGACGCAGTTATCTTGCTTCATTGACCAGATTTTCAGGGTCATGTCGTCGGAACAGGAAGCGAGGAAGTTGCCTTGAGGGTCCCACTTGATTGCGTTAACTTCGTTCTAGAATGATAACATGACTTAAGACAGTTCTTAAGGTGACTTAAAGATGTTACCGTGTGGCCTTGGAACGACTTGATTGGTTTATCCAGTGAGAGTTTGCATACATGGATGCACTGATCGGTTGAGCAGCTGGCGAAAGATGTGTTGGTTTGCCAGTCGACGTCCAGGGCCGGAGCCGAATGGAAACTGAATTGTTGGGTGCATTGTCCACTTGCTGCGTCCCAAATTATTGTTGTTTTGTCGACCTTTGGGGTAATTATGAGGAGGGATTTTATTAATTTGGGGGGTACTTACGCCAGCTGAGAGGATGTAGTTGCCTCGTTTATTCCATTTAAGGGCGAAAATAGGTCCTTTATGTTGGCCTAAAGTGCTCGCTAGACGACCGTCTGTTGTCCAGATTCTTGCATATCCGTCGTAGCTACCAGTTGCCAATAGGCTTCCATCACACTAAAAAAACATCTTATTAGGATTTGCTTTACAAGTAAAAGTGAAGTTTAAATAATGTAATGGTACAAGTGATGTATTTTTTATTTTAATTGTATGAGTTGAATCGAATTATCATAATTAATTTTACTTCTTTTAATTCTAGTTGCATGTGCAAACTATACCTGTGATCTATTAATCCGCCCCTATTTTTAAGCTTATGAAAGTAGGTTTTTGGAAAAAAAAAATTATATATGTAATACAATTTTACAATTACAAAAGCTTAACGACGTCTTGGTTAGAAGAAAAATGTTTACCCAAAGTTCCAAGAACACAAAACTATTTTTTATCCTAATAAATAGGGGTTGTTACAAAATAAATATTTCCAGAATAACCTTTTATAATTCATCTATGAAACTGTGCTTCAGGGGCGATGTAAGTTCTGTATAAAAAACTTCAAGCCAATTTTTATTCTCAACCGCAAACGAAGGAAGTATTGTATGTAATAGAGCTCAGCGGACGAATGATTACTTTCAGCGTTTCTCGACGTTTCATGACCTCTAGAGCATAAAAAATAGGTCTCCATTACCATCCGTCTGTGTCGATTTTTATTTGGCAGATAATCTCCGAAACTACTGGACCGATTGTTGTCAATTTTGATATGTATGTATGTTAATGCAATTCTCAAATTTTGGAAAGTGGAATGAACCGTTCTTGATTTAATCAATACAATAAATGGCTTCACGATTCAGAATTTACAAACTTTCTACAATAAAATTAGAATTTCGGTATTCGTCTACACGGCTGATACAAAATTTAAAAAAATCTGTATGTCCAAGGTACACAATGAAGGCCCATACATAACCCACAACCACAGATATATAGATATAGATTCTGTTATTAATTTCCAGTCCCACTCGACAGAAGAACATAATTTGCCCCACCCACCCTACCTGCTTTTCAGTGATTGGGTTTATCCGATTCGATTGAAATAAATGATATTTTACTGAAGATCAATAAAATTAGTCTTTAGAATAAGAGGGTGGTGGGCAGGGCTAGTACTTGCTAAAATAAGACTGATTTCGGCAAATGACATACCCTCTAAGAAAATAGGGGTGGGTGGGCGGGGCTAGTATTTGATAAGATAAAACTGATTTTGGCACTTTTGACATTTTCGACCATCTTTCAACTATTTGCGAAAATTAGTTTTTTTGTAGATTTCGATATCCAGAAGTCATTTTTGGCTTCGTTTTTTCCGAAATTCCTAGCGTTTTTCCAAAATCGCTAATTGAAATATACCAATTTTTACAGTTTCGTCAAAATAGCTCCCTACAAAAATTTTGTCGTAGATAAAAAAGCAAATTATTATACATTTTTGCACAAAATACAATTGTCTTAAGAATGTAATTTGTGATTTTTATATATTCACAAAAATGTTTAAAATTTGTTTATTGGAGACAATACAGAAATCAGGACAGGTCAGGTCACGTTAGATTAAGTCAGGTCAGGTGTATGAAATAAGAAATAAATTTTGTAGCAAATAGTATAACAAAAAGTTACGATTAGCGCTTTTTTTACTTTTTTCACATCAAGTTATTTTCCAAAATTAAATAACACTTACTATGCAAAGTTGATGACGTCATTAAATTATTAGTGGGGATTATTAGACAAATTCTGGTTAGTGTTTTATCATCTACATGATATTACCAAAATATATGTAAAATTTTAACAATCAGGCCAATAGTTTCGGAAATTATATTTAAAAAAATATATCGTCTTAGAGGTTGTAAAAATAGTTTTTTGGTATTAATTTGATTTACTTTTATAAGATTTCATTTAAAGATGCGGTAAAATAAAAACCTGATACGTTATTTCGCCCCTGAAGTACACTCCAACAAATCCCGCTTCTTTGAAAAATATAACATTTATTATATAATAACATACTTCAACTAGTGACGTCAATAACACTTTCGTAGCCAACTAGCATGTACCCGGAATTTGCAGCGCAAGGGCTACGAAAGTGTTATTGACGTCACTAGTTGTAGTATGGGGTACATGCTAGTTGGCTCCGGCGGACGGTATTTGACCCTCTGCCGAAAAATGGGTATAGGTAAATTAGCTCCGATGGTGCAAGGAAGGTAGATTTTATGGTATGTACCTCTTACGGTGAGGGGATCATCTGCAGATACGTCATTTCCTGCTGTCGCAAGAGATGTGTTGTTTGAATTACAGGAACATATAATTCCATAGTCATCAAATTTTTATGTCTAGAAAGTGGTGGCGGTAAGGTAGTTACAAAGGGGTTTTCTGGTATTTCCCAGATTTGCGGGGTCTTTGAAGTAAGAGGATAACAATCGTTACGGTGAGAGTAAATATTTCTATACTTTTATTACTATCTGCACTGGTCGAAAATGCCCATTCAACACAAATACAAAATTTCCGGCCGAAAAATATCAGTTTTTTCTTAAACTTTCTTGTGCCCAAGCGCTTAAGATAATTGTTACAAAATGGACTGTTTGGACGAAATGATTAGTGAAAAAGGGAAAACAGTTCTGTTAATTAGGTAATAATTATAAATATAATTTTCATAAAGTGTTAGCTCAAAGTGTTATACGTTGGCAGTGTGTAAAACGTGGCTGTAAATCGTACATCAAGACGAATGCTTCGAATAATAGAACAAAGTGGTGAACATACTCACGAAGCGACTGAAACTTCAAAATTAAACAGACAGAAGCTCAGCAATTTTGTTTTGGTTTATATTTACCTTATCTTTTGCAGCAAAATACAATACTAACAAAAATAAAAAAATATATATTTACCAAGCAATAGTAAATAAATTGTTAAAATTGTTAGGGGTAATAGTTCGAACATATATGTGTTGTTTTTCTTAAATACTTATCGTTGCAATGATGAACGAATAAAATTATAAATAACAACTTTAAATGAAATTTAATTTTTCAGTTGGCATTAGATATTAGGTTTTGTGAAAACAACCACAGTTCTGCGTTACCCGTCATGCAGGCAGCAGGAGATGGGGGCCAACTAGTACATGCATCTGGCGGGAGCCAATTTACCTGTTAGTCCGGAGCCAATTTACCTGTTGCTTAAGATTCAAAAGTAGCCGCCGGAGCCAACTAGTATGTTCGCCAAATTCCAAGGGGGCTCAGTCCGCACAAGTGGGGACAAAATCAAATATATTTGAAGCAGATAACCAACAGGAAAATAAGTTTTTCAATGTCTCATTACATGCGTGAGTTAGACCATTTACGTTTATACTTCAAAAGAATTCAATTATTAGCACGTTCCGATAACAGGCATCTACGTTAAAAGAAAATAAAATTTGATTGATTTTGTTTTCTCAAAATAGAGGTCAAATATAGTAATACTAAACGCAAGATAGATTCGTAAACCATAAGTACCATAACCACATTATTCAATAAAAATTTAGATGTTAACATTGCGCAATATAATGAGCGGACGTCATCAAATTGTTGGTGGGGATGAATAGCCAAATTCTGGATAGAGTTTTATTTACCGTCTACATGATATTCCTAATATACGCATAAAATTTGACAATAATCGGTCTAGTAGTTTCGGAGGTTATCCGTCTAATAAATATCGACACAGCCGACAGACAGACGGAAATGGGAGACCGCTTTTTTTGTAACCTAGTGGTCATAAAAAGTCGAAAAAACATGACAGTATCAAGTTGCCCAATGGACTCGATTACAACAGTAAAAATGGAAATTTCTTTTATAATTACAAAAAAATAATTATTCCTTTAAAAGTCTATTCGTGTACGCCACTGTTCAGAATCTACTTGTCAACTGCTGCGCAACACTTACTGATTCACCATGCTATTCTCAAATTATTTCATCTTTAGAGGCAATTCTTTCGGTTTCTGAATTACTCTATTATTACGTTCTGGATTATAGAACATCGTTGAATTTTTACCCGAAAAACTCATCCCTAAACACATTACACAGCACAAAGACGAAATGTCTAACATGTCTATGTGGTTTTTGGATTTGAAATTACCAATATTAGTGTATTTTTTATACCCTACACTAGCTAACACAGTTAATTCGGAAATAATATTTTCAAATTAAAACTTAATCAAACAAGACATACGGCAGCTGGATTTAATCTGTAATAAATTAATTGTCTAATTAGCATCACGCGAATTTACTAGGTAAACAGTCTCAGATAAAAGTGTAATAATAATAACAATAATAGTCACGATGGCAGATAAGTCTACGCGAATAATATCTAAATTTGAAATTATTTTTTCAAATAATCTGGAATCAATATAAGATAGTTTTTATTCTTTGTCAGATGATACTTCATATTTTGAGGCTAAAAATATACTTGTACGCTTTTAGCTTCAGATTCATTGAAATCAATTTAGACAAAATCTTAATTACTAATAATAATAGTGTAATAATACGTAGTCCTCTAGCAAGTTTAGAAATTTAAAGTTAAAAAAAAATGGTGTTGGCAACATGAACGTGTTCCTTGTTCAGTTTGACAGTTATGGTCAAATAACTGTTAAATAAACTGTCAAACAGCTGTTATGCCAACATGACTATTTTAAAACTAAATTTCATGGCCTACTAGATGACTTTTTTTTAGTCATATGGTACCTTATGGTACATTAAAGTTATTTACATACAACTCTAATAATCCATACAAATTCCTTTAATAGAAACAAAATTATGAGAACATACGGAAGCCTTGAGATTTGTAAAAAGCCACTTGTTTATATAAGAGTTAAAGACGTACACATGTATAATTTCACAAATTCCTAACTCACTAAAAGTCAAATCACTTACATTCCAGTCTAAAGAAGTTACATCCTTATTACTGGGTACTTCAGTTCCACCTTTCTGAATACAGTGCCTCAATACCAACTGATTTGGGCTAGTAGTGTTATCTGACATATCCCAAATTCTTGCTGTACTATCCCCTGACCCACTAGCCAACAAATCGGTGGTTGGATTCCATGCACAAATAAAAACTTCAGATTCATGGCCCCTCAACACCGTGGCTTTTGACATGGGTATCTCAATTGAAGTATCCACCTCCATATTCTCATTCTGTGTTGACACCACAGCTACAAACATTAACATATAGCAACCTGTAAACACAACTCCCAAATGTACCTTCTTCTCCATTCGTATCGGTAATTTCAGCCTTTATGGGTTGTTTTTGCGCATTTTGTTGGTTTTGCCGACTCGCCACCACATCAGGCATAACAGCGTCGATTAAACTTAAGCTTTCGACTAATCTTTGTTCCAGTCCATCTTCTCCTATACTGATTTCAGCTTCAGTGTATTGTAAGCCTTTTTGAAGAATACTGAGAAGGGCCGCAGGTGGGACGAGGGCTCCATTGATATTGGAACGAGAAATATGCGATTCTATCCCAAAAGTGTAAGCAGAATGCTGGAAACCTGTCCAACGATGTAAAACAATAACAAATAGTTGCTAGAAAAATTAGGTTATGTCGGACACAGCCTACTCACCGGATTCTTGTAGGTATCGATAAACGAGAAAATTAACTTCGTCGCTTGAAAAACTCATTCTGGTAATATTGTTTAAGCAATATTACGGTTTTTCACGGCAAATTCATTAAAACGACGCTACAAAAACATCGAGCTTTGTGTTTCTTGATGCAATAAATATGGCAACAGCGTACGTCACTGACCTGTCATTTTATGGCTTAGCGTCGAGGCCGTGTTCACGTGAGGTGGATTTACGGAAAAGGGACGCTTGGTGCGGGTTCACTTAAGGAGAAAATTAAACCAACTGATGGGGGCGATTTTAATTAGCCAAATACACTGACGTCATCCGAGGTCATTAAGATGGCAGCGTTTGACAACTAGCCGGTTTTCTCATAAGAGTCAATGCTAATATTTTCGGAATTCATTTAAATTTGAGAATGTGTCAAGTGTGTTTTTATAGTTTGGTAAGTTTGTTACAGTTTCTAGACTGTGTAGATATCTGTAAAACGCACCATAACGTTTGAATATCCTTAAAAAATAATGTTTTCCAATGTGATGTACAGGTTAACTTCGTTGCATCTTATATTATTTGTTTTGCAAATTAATTCTGTGTTAATGTACATCAATGTTTTTTAAATACACTAACATCTTAATATTATAATATTTTGTATTTTAGGAGAAAATGCCTAAATTTTGTGCTGTTGTGGGTTGCGCGAAATTTTGCGCTCCAGAAATGCGGACAAATTTTATTTTCCTTTCCCAGCAATTAGCAACAATAAAGGTAAATATATACAGGATGGGGAAAAAAGGCGGAAGCTTTGGTTAAAAGCCTTGAAACGAGTGGATTTAACGAAGCCAAAGTAAAGTATTCCTATATTTGTTCGGATCATTTTATTTTAGGTACAGTAACTACCTATTAGATTTACAGTTTCCTAATAAATCACTACATTGGTGCTCTTTTAGGTAAACCTGCAGATTTGTCGGATGTGGACCACCCTGATTATGTTCCATCACAAAATTTAGGATATCAAAATAAATCCACTAATAATACTTGTAATGTTGAAAGACACAGTCGTTTAAAAAAGAGAAAACTGAATAAATGCCTCTAGACTTTTGAATGCACGAATTTCATTGTGGGTTATTTTACTTATTCCAAAAATAAAAAAGTTTAGAATGGTATTCATTGTTATGGTAGGGACATCGTCTAAACACAAATTAAAATCACTTGCACTCATTATATAAGGATCTACGCCGTTTAAATTGTTTAACTTTTGTACGTATCTGTTTTTCTCTTTGACGGAAAGACATCGTGCATAATCACTTAAGTTATCCATAGTTTAAAAATAAATCACACATCTTCACTAATTAAACCATGGAGGAAGGAATATAATGGAGGGAGTGAGAGTTCAAATAAGTGATCCCGCGCCAAAATGCGTGAAAGCAATAAAAGGTGCTTCAATATGGCTGCCGCTTCAGTGGCGTATCTTAATAGTATTCATAAGGGGTCCCACTACTCAAAATTATATTCAATGCAAATATTTTTTTTAGAATATCTAAAATTTGAATTTTACTCATAGAAATTTATTTTGTATAATTATAATCAACAAAAAACCCAAATTCACATCAAAGTTTTAATTTTTGCTGCATAATTGTTGCGAGATCTTTGGAATAACATTTAAGGAGATAATATTATAAAGAAAAAACATTAGCCAAGAATAATAAAATCATTATATAAAATTATAAATGACTGGTAGTTACGCTAAGGTTTTGGGGATAGGGTGAGGTTAAAGAATAACAGACGAATTTGTATATGTTGTAATTCTAGAAGCTTGATTTTTTTTTTTATTAATCCAATCAATGCATATCATTACTTGGTCTTAGTACCAGTAATCATAGAAATGTTGCCTCAATGCCAGTCATTTTCGGGTTAGCGGTGGGTCTTAAAATAATTTTATTAAAAGGCAGTAAGAGAACTGTACTTTATAATTTGTATAATAATTAATATTAATTTACAAATATGTACTAGATAATAATAACATAAATAACATATATGTTTTTATAGGGTATTAAAAGAATACAATATTACAAAATAAAGATAAATTCACTTAAAGGAAATACATACAATTTAAATAAAAAGAATACAGGATTACTACAAAGATGAGTTCGTTTCAACTAAAGGTTTGATACTTTTCTGAAAAATAGTATAAGAATAAAAAATATATATATATATAAGAAGAAACAAAGTAAAACGTCAACGCAATCAAATATGTTTTAGATTTTCTCCATATAATAAAACTTAACATGTTGTTTACATTTTTTTTTTTAAATAAACCACATTTTGTAACTTTATTGCCCTTTAAAATGAATCAACTTAGTATATCTTTGCCTATCAGAATCTACTAAATAAGACTTACTTTTACAACTGTATTTTATACGCAAATTCAAATAAATATTAATTATTTCTTTCAACAAAAAAGATGTATGGGGGTGATTTCTATGAAGCAATTTCTCACAGTTTAAATTTTCAATGATGTCAATTACAATTTTGCATTTACTAAGTTTGATATGTACTCGCTCATGTGTTCTGTAAGTTTTTTCACTTTGTACGCAAATGGCAATCACATCGTCACTAGGATAGCTCAATCCCCCCTTTGATTTGAAATCAACAAAACTTCCTAATAAGTTCTCTTTTATACCAAAAAGGCATGATATACATATTTCACATTTCAAAGATTTGGCTAATTTAAAAGCAACAAATCCAGCAATGTAAATGACAACTTCCTCACAAAAATTTGTTAAAGATTCCTGCGTAAAGAAATAATTATGTTCAAAATTAACGTCACTTTCCTGAGTAACTTGTACGTCACTCGTTAATATCAATTGATCAGAATTAATAATATTTTCGAGTTTTTTAATTCGAGACGAACATGTCAAAATATTTACTTGCTCTAAGGGTACACAGTTTCCAAAACCACTGTGATTTATTTCTGCGTATATTAATAATTTTTTATATGCAGATTTAAACTGACGAGTAGTAGGGTTATTATTGCAGCCCCCTAAATTTCTAATTTGGAAGAAAAAATTTTCCAAATGATCTTGACTGCATTTATAGGTGGGCAGATACTGTAAAATTGACGTTCCTCCATCACCCACTACATATTGTTCATAAATATTTAATACTGCATGTAAACCAGCTACAAAACCTATAAAACCTGTTTTACGGGGCGAGTGAATAATTAAATCTTTGTTAAAAAATCTCAATTTGGATATATACGAAGTAAAGCAATTCACAAACGTTTTTACCTGATTAATATTATACTTATTTAATGCTTGCTTGTAACCAAATTCCTTTATTCTGCGCGAATTCAATATGTCAAAAGCGTCATTAATATTTAAAATGAAGGTAGCCGTTGCTCCACAGTTCTTAAACTGATCAAGCTGTAAAATATCTCGACAAAACGTCAAAGCTTCACAGACAGACCTGCTTAATAACTGTGTAGCTAGAGCAACTTTCATTTTTTGTTTAAAAAAATTTATATGTCTTCTACGTAGTTTGTTTGCAAGGTGCAGCCCTTCATTTTCTTGCAGTTCATTTAGAAGTTCTAAGTATTTAAAATCAATAACATTATTCTCTCCATCGACTATTCTTCTTTTGTCACCAAATGTGTTACGTATTAATTTCATCATGTGTGAAGGATCAAGTAAAAGAAGTATATTCTCTTCACCAAAGTTTGTTTTCAAATTAGAAGGGCTAAATGAGCAACCTAATGCAGATGCCATTGACAAATTTGTCACACAACCATCAAATGTAATATTGCTAATTTCAATTCCTACACTTTTTACTAAAAATAAACACTGTTTTAGTAAACCTAATTTTTGCTCACTATTTAAAGAATGGCTTAAAAAGTAACCCACGGGGATTTTCCAAGAGCCATTTATAGCAACCAGCATGAAAACTAAAGCTTCTTTGGCCTCTTCATTTTCATTTACTTCGATTATACTACCCATATCAACTAATATTGTTGCCCATCATATTCAATGCAGCGTTTAATAGCAACTTCATCGAACACTAAAGAACACACAATTTTACGTTCTTCAGCCTTTGCTTTTAACACATCGAATGCCTCACTTGTGAAACCTGGTGCACCATTCACTGAAGAATACCATACAGACAAAGTTTTTGGGTGTGGAAGACAGTCCATGAATTGTTTTCTTATAAAAGAAAAAGCCTTTGGGGAGTAGAAATGTGTTGTAACGGCAAATTTTCTTATTTCTGGCCCATATTGATTTGGCAATGGTTTGTTGTTAATTTTAGCCCACATTCTGCTCAACAGTTCTGTATTTTCCTGAAATTTATTAACATCCACACTGTTGTTTTCATAATAGTTGATTTTCTTCCTTAAACTTGAAACAACATCTTTCAGATTACAAATTTTGCGTTGCTGTTTTGAGGTTCTGCGTTTTAACGTTTTAATAGTGCATTGTTGTTGTGACACTAATGTCTTCAGGTTGTTAATTTGTTGTTTCAGTAAAACGTTTGCACATGTTTTTGTTGTTAAATTTTCAAGTTTCTTTGTAATTTCAAAAACTTTATTAGACAATTCATCTTCTATATTCTGTTGAGGCTCTACCGAAGGTGCGTCACAAACTTCTGTGTGATGCGTTTCATTGCCTCTAAAGGTCACTACATTGGTAATCTAAAATAAATATATGTATTAATTGTTATATCATGCAGCATGTGAGTTCATTTAATACCCTTTCTTCATAAGTATAAGAAATAGTTGGTACTGAATGTGGTCTTAAAACTACTTTCTGGGCTGATGTTCTATCAAAACACTTTTCTTCAAAATGAAATGAATACAGGAAAAAGTTGTTCACAGACACAGAATTTCCTAGGTGAAGATAAAGGAAGTCTGTCCACAGTTTCTTTAATTCAGGTTTCTGGGGACACCTAAAAGCAATTCAAAAATATTCATTAGTCCCTCTTAAGCAAATATTAAACGAAAAAATACGACACACCTGTGAAACGTTATTTTTTCTCTACCAATTGTTGACCTGGAGCCACTCGTAACTTTACACAATTTGCAACTAACCATTTTAAGTTTTTAAATAAACATGAAACGCTTATCGCAAATTCAAAACAAAACGTTCACACTAAACACGAGGTTAAAAGCGAAAATGACAAAAACAGAATCGTACGACACTGGTCAGTGCTGGCTGATGAAATTATTAAAGTAAGCATGCGCGGTGAAGGGCGCGCTAATTGAAAAGAGTAATAAAAGGTGCTTGCACTGGTGCCAAGAATTTACATTGCCGAGATACGGCGCACTCCCTCCATTATATTCCTTCCTCCATGAATTAAACCCGTTACATTAACCTCAAACGAAAATATTAATATCCGATTTACCGCTTAAAACAACGGATGTATTTTGGGTAACAAGGAATTCAGACCAAAACAGCGTTCTGTATTTTTATTTTTATTATGTATTTTTAAACTCAAATCGGTAAAAAAAGCACCCTGATACACAGAAAAGATATGAAAGAAGCTATTCAAGTGTTTATTTTCTAGATAAATACCCACACTTTTAAATAAAATGCGAAAATGTTAACATTGTCACTTATGGAGTTTCAAGGCGCTTGTCAAACGCTGAGTTCCCGCCACAGCGTGACGTCACGTGTTATTGGCTAATTAATTTAGAGATGAATACAGCTAAATGTTATGAATAAAGTATGTAGAGGGGATAGTACACTCAACCAGTCGTTTGTTTATAATTAAAATTAATCCATGTTTAAGTTTTCAAAGTCACGGTTTTTTTTTACAGATGAAGGAGGGGATGACGATGGGTAGAAAGTCTCTATGAAAAAATTCGTTAGAGCGAATGTTTTCAAAAAGTAACGAGTACAATTTAAGACCATTGGAGAATATAAGTTCTACAACCAAAGGTTTAAAAACATCCGTTTATAAACTCGTACAGTTGGTTGCATACACGGATTTACTTTTGAGGGAATTATTTTCAGTAAAATGCATATAATATTTAAAACTAATTGCTGAAATGTAACATGACAATATAAAAGAAGTTCGATGGTATTTGGATGGGCGTTTTAAAAGAATTAGTAAAAATGTAAGTAAATAAAATATTCACTTTTTATATAAAGCACAATATTTTATTATGTAACGCTGCAGTACATGTTTCAGTACACATTGCCTTCTTCAGGTAGGAAATGAACTTGTGACAATGGTAACAGGTGATCAATAGTAGGTATGTACTTACCAGTTGATATACTTATACTTACTTTATACATACCTATACTATGATTTCACGCTAGTGGGGGTGAATTTTTACAGTTTTGTAAATGATGCAAAGAATAAAATTTATTAACAACAATAAAAATGAAACAAACAGTATACATATGTTGATGTGGTAAATGCCTAAAAAACCATACACGAGGAGGTATCTTGGCCCAACTGGACGGAAAATTTAAGAACGAATTCAAGAACATAAGAAATACTTTTACACCAAACTTTAACACTAATTGTACGCCTTCGAGTACCTTGAAACCAAAGGCGCTATGTTAGCATGAAGCATGGAGGTAGAATATTACTTTCCTTTGAAATAAACCGTCTCAACAGATTAAAAGTATTGTTCAATGACCAAACAGACGTAAATAAATCCCCTTTGCTTAATTTACAACTTCATATAAAAATTCGCTCCCAATAACCCTAAATATAGATAAACTGTTACTATCGTCACCTGCCGAAAGAAGGTACTGTGCACCGAAACACGTGTTGCAGTGTCACACAAAAAAATACCGTGTGAGTGCGTTAATGATGAATTGATGAACCATTTTTTTTTTGTTGGCAGTTCTGAAGTGTTGTAATGTAAGCAATGTTCTATCGCAATCATTAATAGTCACTCGGTATTTTACTCCTGCCATCAAAATTTCGTGACGCAGCGGATAAAGTTACAGGACCTCGGGGTTGGAATGGGGCTTTTTTGTTTCTTACAGTGTTACTGCGATTATCTGCATGTTTTTCTCTGTGTAAAGGTTATCACGAATAAATTGTCACAAAATCAAATAATTTCAGATATAATAAAATAGGTTTTATTAACATCTCATAATGACATCATTATTATGTTGACGACGTTTTATTTTCTCCTGCGGGTATTGTGGTGTTTGTTCTGGGGACGAAGAATCTTATTGGCTCCTCCGAACGCTGTCCTATTTATGAAAATCACAAGTCCCCGAATCAGCATCTCCTCCCGGCGTGTTCGTTTTTCCAACAGCAGTTGCTTCTTGAGGGTCTTGCTTAAAACTGGGTCGCCCCGGGTGATGCGTTCCCACCGGTCGACGGATCTGGTAGCAGTCACAAGTGACCGTGGGTCCAAACACCTGCAACAAACAAAATATTAGTAACAAGTAACAACAAAACCAAAACTATAACTTACCTCAGGATGATGACCCAAATCTCTACCGGTAAATTTGGCAGAGCAAATTCACTAGCGGCTACGAAAGGCAAAATGTGAAACATCGTAAAATCTTATCGTGCTAGGCAGAGGATAAACTGACCACATCGTGAAGTGCTGGGGTTTATATAGCCGATACGCGCTCCCCTTCCACTCGATCAACGGTGGAGTGGGAAGAGCGAGAGTGGGGATGCGATGCGGGTGCGGTAGGTTTGAATGGAGTATGTTTGGTATTTGTCGTAATATTTAAGAGTTTTGAATTGTTTTGAATTTTGAATTTTTCGCATCGGCTGTCAGCAAATTATGTATTTCATTGAATTACATTCGAGCCATTCATTTCTAACCGGATAAATGTTTCTTTCACAAACTCAATCAAGTTGCTTTTTGACAGTCTGGTTGGAAGAACTAATCTCTCGATTCTGTGGAGTCTCCACAATTTATTCGCAGTTTTTCTCGTATAAAAATTTATTCGGCTAAATGAGTATGTCTTGCGAAAATATTGACTGAAAGTCGAGTCTATGATTCTTTGATAATACCAGGGGCGGCTGGTCAGGGGCGGCAGGGTCGGCCACGCCGTACCAGTCATTTTAAAATACTTAGTAAGCGTTGAAATTAGAAAATAAAAAAAGAAATAAAGTTTGAATGTACGTTAGGATAGACCATATATATTAAAAATATATTTTATTATATTGTAGGTACAAAATAAAGCATTTGTTGCTAATTTTAAATGCTGATAAACACGCTTTGCCGGCGAGATTTCGGCAAGCCGTACCCAGGAATGCATTATGCTCGATGTTTCGACTTCGTAGCAGCTTACGGTTTCATCGTTCTCTTTGTCTAGTACACTGTAGTAGACAAAGACCTGGCGGAACGTATGTTGTGCCAGGTCCGGCGAAATCCTCCTTCGCCGTACCCAGCAACGCGAATTTAGTTTTTAAAACGCTTAATATTTAAGATAGCTAACCAAATTACAAAACAATAATGGCTTCGATGTTCTTCAGTGCATACTATTTTTTTTTAATAATAATTGTCGATTTAATACATTTTTCTGTGTATGAATAACAAACGAAAAAAATTACATTAAATTATCTAAAATTTTATTTTTCGTACATAACTTAGCTACAACATAAATGCGCTTTTTCTGTATTTTTAGCATCTAAGCGTTTTCAGATATTTCAGAAACGAATTTAAAGTTTTAAATCATTTTAATTTTTCAATTATTCAATTAATTTATTTGACAATTTGTCATATACATTAAAAAAAATAGATGTAAATGAAGATAGTTAACAGTTGGTACTTTTATTATTACTTTTTTTATATTTTTTAACTGCATGTCATTATTTAATTATTATTATTTAATTGTGGATGTCCGGGGTCGGCAAGCCGTATAGCCGCCGGTCGACGGGGAACTCAGTAAAAATAATGTTTCGGTGGTTCTCAATTAATGATAAAGCAGAACAAGTAGAATTAAGGATTAATAGTATTTGGAATCAAACTGACATTGTCAATTTCCTATAAAAAATTATTTTAACAGGTCGAAACATTTGAGATGTTTTGTACATCCTGGCACGTAAAATGTCAGTGGTTAATGAGTAGTAGCCATACATTACAAAAATATATAACACCAAGGTGTAGACTCAAAATATTTGGCCGACCCGAAATTTTGACCCACCAGCCGCCACTGGATAATACTTATCGGTTTTCCTCAATTCTGTATGAAAAAAAAGGGTAACATTTATGGTGGAGGTACTGGGAATCACCCTCTGTTAAGACTACTGATGATGCCGATGTGCGTCAATGAAACTAACACTGTTTTTGACTAACATATATTATATTTACAACACAAAACATAATACATAAACATGGTGTGATACTCGCTCGAGAGATCATTGCTTTTCCATCTGTACTGCTTTGTTTTTAAAACGCACACAAAAGTTTTTTATGAACCGTAAACAATATGCTGTTACTCTAACTAATTTTTTTCGGGTGTACTGATAGTATTTAGACAGAATGTCGTTTTGATTCGGGCATATCTATGTCTGTAAGTACGCGATTGTTTAACTTACAAAAATCTTGTTTTGGCTGTCCCAAGATTTGTGGACCTTCCCACCACAGTTTTAATTGTGTTAACTTTTGAACCGTTGTTCCGCGGGATAAAATATCTACAGGATTATCAGAGGTCGGTATGTAATGCCACTTTTCTATATCAGTCAGAGTCTGAATTTCAACAACTCAATGGGCAACAAAATTTTTTAAATTACTTGGTTCAGTTTGTAACCAGGCTAAAACAATTTGTGAATCACTCCAATAAAACAGATTATTGACAGATATGTTTTAGATCTGCATGATCTTGTGCATTAGTTGAGTAAGCAATAGAGCTCCACATAATTCCAAACGTGGAATTGTGATAGTTTTCAGAGGTGCAACTTTTTTTGAGCAAAGTTAACGTGATTGGTTAATACCGTTAGCGGTTTTTGTGGAAATATACATACATGCGCCCTATGATACTTGGCTTGTATCACAAAAGCCATGAATTTCAATTTTTTGGAATTGATAAATGATTGATATTTAGAAAATCTTTAAGGGTCCCCAGTATATAATGAAGTAATTTTGTTTGCAACTTGTATAATAATGGAAAATCATCTAAATAGTGGACTGAGATCTACTTCGTTTTTGTTAAAAAAGTGACCAAGAAAATTACTACAATAACAACAAAATAAACCTACACCCACTGAATTTAAAAAATAAGAGATTTTAGAAAGAGTAATTAAATTAAGGTAAATCAATTATTTATTATAATAATTCAATTTATTTATTTAATTTTAAGTATAAAATTCCTCATTTTAATAAATCCAAACTTCGTCGTGAAGGAATGTTACTAACGAGATTGATATATTCTCCAGAAGCTCTAAATAAAGTCCAATTGCTTATAAATTGAAATGCATTGTCGTTATAATAGTATTATTAATAAATAAAGTTACAAATGTATACCATAATTTCGGACAAAAATAAATTTAAAATGTATACCATATTTTCGGACGGAGGGAGTATAAAAATTAATAGAAAATAGAACACACTGCTGCTAAAACATTGGGGTTCGCGGTGCGTGCAACACGTGTGCTGGTGTGCGGTCTGTGAATAGTGTTCAATTTTGGATTTCTGCCCCTGTGGGGGTCATCTTGGTTTGCATAATTAATCCCTAGTTATTAATTTTTGATTTCTTTCATCATTTTTTATTATTTTTTTTTATTGTATTTTGGTTACTATCACTGGAATTGTACTGACCTTACTGATATTTTCTTTTGCACGGCGTTCGTTGGAGGTTGTGCATATAGTTTCTTAGTTATAGTACGCCTTAATTATGACTATTAAATGCAGTAACTGCTTCCTTAAGATTGGGCGCAATGACTTGAATGTGTCATGCAATCAGTGTAAACATGATAATAAACATAAAATTCGGTGGCTTAACGGTAGAAAGTTATCAAAGTATGGATAATAAAGAGTTACTTAATAAGTGACTGTGCTGATTTTGAAAAACTGAAAAAAATACTTCATCTACTGATACACAAACTGATTCTGCTGATGACGAAATAGTTACCATTTCTGTTGCTGAATTAAAACATTTGGTTACCAACATTATAAATCGGGAATTGCAGCCACTTATTCAGCAAATTGATTCTCTTAAGTCTGAGATCCAGCAATTAAGTAATCAGAATACTCAGCTCCGGGAAGATGTTGTAAAACTTGCTAGAGATAATGGTAGCTCGAATAAAACTCCTGATCATGTGTCCACGTCTTCTGCTACTTCAGCCAGGGAAACTTATGCGGAAACAGTAGCTAAGAGTATGTATAAATAATACAGTTATTGTTCGTCCCAAAGATAAATCTCAGACCATCAATAAGATTAAATCTGACATTATGGTACATATTGATTCTGTTGCATCCTCTGTTAGCAAAGTAAAAAATCTTAAAGATGGCGGTATTCTTCTTGGATATCAGGATATAACTAGATTTAAACGTCTAGCTGATGATAAACTTGCGGGAGCGTATGATATAAGACAAGTTAGTACACTTAAGCCTCGTATCAGAATTGCTGGAATTTCCAAGGATGTTAGTGAATCAAGTGTTCTGGATTTTTTGGTCAAACAAAATGAGTTTATTTTCAGCAACGATGAAGAGAATGTATACAAGTTGATTAAATTTTTGCCTGTGAAAAATAAGTCTGACGGTTTTCAACCAATTGTTGAAGTAGATATCGCCTCCTATAAAAAAGTCATTAGCATAGGGCACTGACTAATAGGTTTAGACAGATGTTATATCTTTTGTGGTATTGATATTTTCCGGTGTTTCACTTGTAATGGTTTTAACCATTCATCTAGCTCTTGCAAAAGTAATGTTATCTGTCCTCGCTGTGCTGGGAACCATAGTGTTAAAGAGTGTCAAGCCGAGAAGTTGCGTTGTATAAATTGTACCAACATGAAATCGTCTGGTAATCATGATCAAATAAATGTTGATCATGCTGTTTGGGACCGAGATAACTGCCATTCATATAGTGCTGCTATTAACAAAATAAAACGTGAGGTTTTTGGCTTATCTTCATAGCAATTATTCCTTGCAGATTCATTCCACTCCCTAAATTTATCATAATTGTAGTCTAGTAGCAACATATAAATCGAGAATTCTGTTGTTGATGTCTCTCATTCTGTAGTTAAAACTGTTGAGAATGCATTTATCACACTTTATTATCAAAATATTCGTGGTATTAACTCTAAATTTAATGAACTTTATCAATCTTTATTGTGTTGCGATTTTGATTTTATCTGCCTTACAGAAACTTGGCTTTCTAGTTCTGTGCTTAATTCTGAATTTTGCCCTAACAATTATATAGTCCTCAGATCAGACAGAAATTTTTATAAAACTAATGTAACTAGAGGAGGAGGAGTTCTTCTTGCATCCAAGTTGCCATTTTCAACTATCCAAGTTGACCTGGCGTCTAAAGGGTTTGACATGCTTATTTTTATAGACATTCTTGGGGCTAAATGTAGTATTGGCTATTTCAGTTTCTATATCTTCATTG